ATTCTTGGAAAGAATAAGATTCTTAGCATTTTGAATGGTTGATGTTCTCGTGCATGGATGCCTTATACCCTTTCAAACTAGTTTTTGCAGAATGAATTTAATCTTTCAATGCAGAGATTTTTGTTTGACTCAATAATATAATCTCTCAAGTTGAAATCCTTAGGGCTGCGCTTGTCTGATACCATACAACAAATTGGGCATAAGCATTGATCATCAGATGAAACAACCCTTCCAACCTTTATAAGTAACTCTCTTCCACTTTTCCAAATCTCTTCTATCATTTTTTACAGATTTTTCTAGCTGTGAACAAGATTGTTTGTATTTTTAGTGAAATATTTTAAAAAATATTTAATAAATATAATAAGATATAATAACCTTTTTGGCATTAAAAGCATTTCTGAAACAGCAACAAAGTCCAGTGGAAAAATGCATTTATATCTAAACTGAATTCTTTGTGTACATAGTCTCGAACTAATTGTCACCAATGATGGCATACTGCGAAGAGAGTAGTTGTCTGATTGTTACAGCAACAAAAAAAAGCTAAATCTCTCGACTCATTATGATTTTTTTCCTTGAAAGATTTGATATGTAACATTTATCCACTTTTATTGTTATTTAAAATAAATGTTTGTTAATTAAATTTTTTTTTAAATGTGGATTTTGTAAAAGTTAAAGTGTTTGTGTAAACAATATTTACATAAACGAATTTATTGTTATCCGGATTTTTTTTTCGATTTTTATACTGCATAGGAGTATAAGCAAGCTCCTTGTTTAAAAATGGGTATCAATACAAAGATTAATAATACTTTGATAAATGGTTTATTTTTTTATTCAAAAACTAAACTTTTTTTATACAATTTTCTAGGATGTAAAGTAAAAAATAATTTTTCTAGGATGTAAAGTAAAAAATAATTTTTTGAGACTTGTTTATAATCAACAGTTTCATTGTAGTGGATATTCATGATGGCTAATGAACAAAGTCTATCTGCAGTTATACTGGCTCTCAACCATGTTCTTAATCTTCGCATTGCTGAAAAAGAAAATCAATATCCTAATCTCTCGAAGAGATCAGGAAATTAATTTTCATCGTAGATTTTAATGGCTTTCGCTAGAGTATTAGACATTTGTAACACTGACCTCTAAAAGAACTAAAATTAATTCTACTTTCGCTATAAAATTTCATCAAGCTTTCCCCAATATGTTTGCCTGTTCTCCTGTCAAGAATCAAAAAGTTAAGAAATAATTCTTTAGTTTCTTTTTCTCTGTTTACGTATTTCATGCATACTGATAGAATTTGTTGGTTTGCAGTTGTTACCTCGACTGCTGAAATTGAATGGTAATTTGCAACGTTGATTTTGTTAATTTGCCGCTCTTGTATACATTTCTTTCCAAATATATCAACTAATTCATTTTGACTCTTGGGGCCGAGGTAGCTGGCATCTTTGCGTAATGGTGTTTTTATATGTGCATTAAGTTCAGCTTTATGGCGAGCTATTTCTTGCACAGTTACAAGAAAGTTTCCAGGATTACCTTTTTAGCTTGAGTTTTCTATACACTTTTCATAAGTTCCACGAAATGCAAGTCTTTGTTTCTCCATCAAATGCACTATTCTACCTAATTTTTCAACAATGTACGTGTACATTTGTTGTCGGTTTTTTAAAGTGCTATTGCTTTGTAATGGAATGATTTGTCTTCGATCTTCAAAATGACAACAAATGCCATTATTTTGTTCGATAGCTTCTTTATGGTATTTATTGCCTATATGTAGTTTTTGTTTCTCTAAAACATTGTGCCATTCCTTATATCCACGGTTAACAAAGCTCCCAAAGATGTTTTTTGTCCTGCTTTAGAAATAAAGTGCAATATATGCAGTAGACTGCGTCTTTACCTTTGCCGTAGATAAATCTTTTTTGGAAATATTCTTCTTTACAAGCGCGTATGCAACCATGTTTTAATGTTTTGGGAAATTAAAAATGTATCTTCTGTTTTAATTTATTTGTAAAAAGTTTGTATATTTCATGTGGTCATAATTTTTAATTTCCGCGCAAGAGTTTGTCAATATCATATCGTTTTTATTCTTCTTTAAAATCACATTCTTTTAAATTTCTTTGGTCTACTTCGCATGAAAAGTTTTTGTCAACATTATTATCATCTTTAATGACTTCCTCTTTTTCTTCTACTTTGTGTAATGTTTTATCGGTTAAATTTTGAGAACTGTTGATAACAAAAAACACTTGAAACGTAAGTAATTAATAATAAACTTTCATCTTAAACTAACCAAACTTAAAAAAAACTCGCATAAACATTACAATAAAAAACAAGTAATAACAAAGTGCTATCATAAAAAAAGATTTAACGTTTAGATAATACATATATCTATATCTAGTTAATATCTATATCTAGTTAATATCAAATTAATCAAACTAATTATTATAAAAAGAAGATCAAAATAACTTTTTTTACTTAAAATATCCAACGATTTGCATTTCTTTGCAGCATTTTGAAGCTTTTTTCGATCAGCTGCTCGTTTCCTAATTTGGTTAGGCATGTTAACTCTATCGTTTGCTTTTGAAAGTAAACTAGTATTAGTAGAGAATTGTAATTACAGTATAAACTCTGGCGAGACTATTTTTCATTTTTGTTTACAAAAGATTTCACAATGCAATGACTACTAATGACACCTTACGTTTGTGAAACCATAGTAAAAAGTAAAAAATGTTTCATGAGAATGATTCATAAAAATCAAACAACTATCATAAAAATTTTGATTAAATATTTTGACATCAAAAAAAGTCTTAAAAAAAGGACTTTGCATAAAAAGGTGGTCCATCGCACCCAACGACCCCCCTTACCCACGGTACGGGCCTGTCTTTGTATATTACGGTGTGGCTGCCAAAGTCCTCTTGTATTTTCCTCATCATAGGACAAAAACTAAAAAAATTTAGATGCTTCGATACAAGATAAGCAATTGAGTCAACTGTACCAACTTAGCTTGAGCCCTACCTTGTTAAATTATATTTTTTAATAAACACTATGCCAAATGCTTTTATTTCATGCTTCTAGTTTGAAATTGACTTGAGTTTTAAATATTTGTTTTGCCGATTACAAACTTTAATCAAGCAGTTTTATTGATATGTATTAAACATTTATGTGTTTTAATTGCTATTATTTAAGAATGATGACCGCATAAAGAAGATTAAATTAAGGTACTCAACGATAAGACTCTCTAGTTTTCTACGATTTATCCTTTACAACAATGCATTTTTTATTAATAAAACTTAACAATACAATTAAATTTGGTGTTATTATAACTTGTTATATAGATTATATATTTTCAACCCAGTGGCCCAGACGTACAACGGAATTTAATTGATTTTTTAAATGCATGGGTTAATAGCTAGTAATATATTTTATAAACTACGAATTTTTAAAAACGCATTATTAGCCTTTTATATGAATTGTAAATATGTGTGGTACATTAACTTTTATGAGTGTACTTTTTGTGGAAGTTATATAACTAATATACAACTTGATATATAATGTAAAACACATATATAACTAGAGATTTGTAAACATAGATTTACTAAAATACTGAGGCTTCCTTAGGAAAAAAAACATAACGTAGAGTCGGTTTACATAAGTTGATAAATTGCAATATTTTATTTTTATTATTAGTTTAATTTCGAATTATTTTTAAATTTTTCATAAATATAATGAACTATCGCGCAACAAAGGAAGAAGGGGGTGGAGGAAAGGGTCAAGGATGGTGTGGTAAAAAGAATAAACTTTTCCTTCAAAGCCCCCAACTGTCTACTATCACGAGGTAAGTGTAGGGTAAATCTGACCTAATTAAAAACAGCGAAATTGAACAATAAAGAATCAACTCTTCTTTTTTACCTGTCATAACATGCATTAAATGCGTGTTATCACAAGGAAAAAAAATCAAAATATTTGCATATTTGGAGAAGTTATGACTTTTTTCCTTACTTTAGTTTTGCCCTCATTATTTCAACAGTACAATGCATATCTGCTGAAATGTTGTATTTTTGTTATGATCCATTTTTTACACAACCTAATTAATAAATTCTTTTTTTCATCATACGCAGTACCTGAGCAACATAAAGCAATTAGCGATATTCTTTTTGTTTCTCCTCAAATCACCTTAAAATCAATACTGTATCACCGCTTTAAAATGCAATACGTTAAAAAATAGCTAAGCATAATATGATTTCCTATATGTTAGCATAACTAACCTCAAAAACAATTTTTATTATTATTTAAGACAAAATATATTTATATATATATATATACATATATATATATATATATATATATATATATATATATATAAATATATATATATATATATATATATATATATATATATATATATATATATATATATATATATATACATATATATATATATATATATATATATATATATATATATATATATATATATATATATATATATATATATATATATATATACATATATATATATATATATATATATATAGATATATATATATAAATATATATATATATATATATATATATATATATATATATATATATATATATATATATATATATATATATATATATGTATATATATATATATATATATATATATATATATATATATATATATATATATATATATATATATATATATATATATATATATATATATATATATATATATATATATATATATATATATATATATATATATATATATATATATATATATATATATATATATATATATATATATATATATATATATATATATATATATATATATATATATATATATATATATATATATATATATATATATATATATATATATATAGTTTATTATTTGGAATAATATCTTAGAGACAATAGAGAAAATACTTTTTACTTCGTTTCTAAAGGATTTACACTTTTTAATAGTATTTTGCCAAATTAGGCTAAAGTGAAAAAAGGGCATAAACAAAATTCATTAATATTTTATCGAAATATTATCATATGAAATTTACTGTATAAAAATATTGTTTAAATACAAAATAACACTTTAAAAACTTTTTAATGAACTAGTAGTTATGTTTATAAATAACTTTCTCAATGTTTGGGTTTTACGATTTTGGATACAACGTTATTTATTTCATTCAGTAACACGATTTCCAGCACTAAATTTTAGCAAAACAATAAAATGACATAAATTTGAACAATATAAATTATTATTAAATTAAATATTTTATGATTCTAAAAAATAAAAACTTATTGTTACCTCACATTCGTTTGGATAGAATTTGAAAACAAAAGCTGCTTTGTTTAACAATACCTTTAATCTTTTTATGCACTAAATAGAAATTAGAATTGTATATAATGGACTACATCTAAGAGTATTAAATATAACTCTTAAAAGTAATCAGTTTGTTGGAGGTTGATTTTGAGGTAAGACAAAAATGAGAGATTTAAAAAGAAAAAGTCCAACAACTGACAACCAGATATTCAATATATTTCTCGTTCTTTTTAATACTTAAATGAATTCTCAATGCTAACATTACTGATATTCTTATATCTCACTTGAAACATTTTAAAAAATAAGGTTAAATTGACTATTGAGCGTGATAGCTAAGTGCTGGCATTATATTAACCAATATAATGCCAGCACTTAGCTAACACGCATTTTTAAATGTCAATCTTGCTACATATTGATACCTCAAACTAATATTTCATGTATGAGGATTATCTTAGCTACATACTTATCTAAAATTATAAACATTAAAAATAAAACTTAAATAACGATTTTCAACACTATAATTTAATAATCCTCACTAATAAAACTCCTCACAATATATCCTATATATATCTAGTCATATATATATCTGTCTATATATATATATATATATATATATATATATATATATATATATATATATATATATATATATATATATATATATATATATATATATATATATATATATATATATATATATATATATATATATATATATATATATATGTATATATATATATGTATATATATATATATATTATATATATATATATATATATATATATATATATATATATATATATATATATATATATATATATATATATATATGTATCCGTCTATATATATCCGTTACTATATATATCCTATATATAATCCAATCCTATATATATCCTATATATATCACAATATATCCAATATATTATTCTCACTAATAAAACTTCTCACAATATATTCAAAATACTAACATAATATGAACTTGTTGAGCTATTAAGTTGTTTATTTCCTTGGAATCATTTACGTTAAAAAGTAGCGTCTAAATTTGAATGTTTTTTTTTTTTTATTAAAAATATTAATTCTTGTTATTTTTAATCAGAAAAAACTTGAATCTGTTCCTTGTCATTTTTTTTTAGAATATGGTCTAAATTTCACTTACTATCAAAACATGAAACTGCGAACCCTTTAAATAACTCAACCACTAAATTTGAAAATCATATTTGAAACTTTTTATTAGATAGCCCCTTAAATTTTTATTGCATATTTTGTTTTTCTTATTTTTGTAAGTGCTATTACATTTATAATATAATGCTTTTATAAATTAATGTTGATTTTTATTGGTAATCATCATTTTTTATTTTTTTAATATAATTATTTTAAGATTATTATTATTGTTGTTATCATTGTCACTACTACAATATTTTTATTTTAGTTATTACTATATATTACAATTGTTGTTAACACTTATATTGCTTTTTTTGTTGTTGTTGTTGTTTTTGAAACATAACAGCTATTTTCAGAACAAAAACAGTTATAAAAAAATTCAAAACTCTAATAGAAAAATGTTCGTACCCATTTGCTAAATTTGTTATGTGATAAATTGCAACTTGTTAAACTTGCATTTTGATATTCCTTTAGCCAAGTATTTATTGAAAGCATCAATTTATCATTAGTACAATTATTACATTCGTTGAATTGTTTTGTGTATGTTTTTTTGTCTTTTATGCTGTTTGTTTTTAGTCCGAAACGTGGTCCTAGAGAATTATATTTCAATATACGAGTATGTTACTAATTAAATAATAAAGCTTTAACTTTATACTTTTAACTTTAAAATTAGAATAAAAATAAAAAAAGTCTAACCTTGCGTTTTAAAAAGTTCAATAGAAACCAGAAAAATTACCACTGGAAAAAAATTCATCTTAAAAAGAACCTTTTAAGAGTTATACCTGGTGTTTAGCAGAGTAGATATTTGTAATAAATTTTAGTTTTCGACAGAGTATTTATAGGAAATTATAAACAAACATTTACGCAAACCATATTGACACATAAAAGTAACAAACAGTAATTTATTGTTTAAATCTAAAAATAAAGTTATAACCTTATTGCTCAATACAAAAACAAAATTTGAACGTTTTGTTATTCGATAGTACATTGTTTAATAAGAAGTTAATTCTTTTAAGATATGTTTGAATTCGTATATTTATAAGTTTGCTTTGTTTTAATTTTAGGTTTTCCGTATTTTGGTTATTTATTTTTAAAAAAAAACATGTTTTTCTTGATTGTTAATCTGCTAATTATTCATTTTTTTAAATTTAAGGACTCAGTAACATACCTGACGAAAAACTACTAAACTTAACCTAAACGACGCAAAGATAAATAAAAGTAGGAGCAATGAGATCCTAAATCTTGGGCAGGCTGTTCTCATAAATATCAGATAAAAGTTAATTTTTTAGTACATATTTATTTCACAACCACAATATAATCACAAGTATGTCAAACTATATATATATATAGATGTCAAACTATATATATTTATATATATATATATATATATATATATATATATGTATATATATATATATATATATATATATATATATATATATATTTATATATATTTATATAACAACATGCATATATAAATGTATATGTATATATATATATATATATATATATATATATATATATATATATATATATATGTATATATATATATATATATATATATATATATATATATATATATATATCCCAGCCAGCAATTTATATTGGGCCCCCCAATATGCCTACTTTGGCCCCATATTGGAGCCAAAGTGGGCAGCTTTTTTTGGGCCCAAATGGGTTGCCCACATTGCGCCTAAATAAAATTGTTGATGTGTGTGAATTGGGGCCCAAGTGGGCAGCCCATATGGGCTGCATATGAGGGACCCACATGGGTCACACTTTTTATGTATTTAAAGTTTTTATAATTTTTTGAATAATTATTTATTTATTTTCAAATTAGATACTTATAATCTAATATGTAGCGATGAATATGTCACGTGAGTCTAACTTTATAGATATAAAACAGGAAATCAAGCATAGAAAGAATAAGGTAAACGATAATAAAAATTTATATATATTTTTTTTGATTTTTTTATTTAGGTGCCCTAAGAAGACCTAACGGTCTTGTTACAGAGCACCGCGGATGTGATTAACCATGAAGTTCAAGCCTTCTTCGTTACTGTGACGCGAAATATGTCCAGAGCTCGTTTCGAACCTGGATCTCCTGCTTATAAAGCAAGCGCTCTAACCACTGAGCCACGGCCGCATCATTTTTAATTATACCACAGCTAATTGCATAGCGGAGTACCACATGCCATTGCGCGCAGGTTCGGGTGGCATTTAAATTTAGAAAATAAGATGGGATATAACGCTTTTTTAACTTCATATGAGGGCCCTATATAGGCCTCATATGGCCTAGCCCTTAAACTTTGTATTCAAGGGCTAGCCCACATTAGGCCCATTTTGGGCCCATATACAAAGCCTACATAGATCCCACTTGGGCAAACCCATATGGAACCCCAATATATAACACACTTAAAACCTAGAATATATTGAATTGCGGAAGATGTTAATGCATATATATATATACAAACATATATATATATATACATATATATATATATATATATATATATATATATATATATATATATACATATATATATATATATATATATATATATATATATATATATATATATATATATATATATATATATATACATATATATATATATATATATATATATATATATATATATATATATATATATATATATATATATATATATATATATATATATACATATATATATATATATATATATATATATATATATATATATATATATATATATATATATATATATATATATATATATATATATATATATATATATATATATATATACATTTATAATACAAATATATGATTAAAGGATTTCATGAAACGTCTCAACGGACTTTTTCTTCGTAAACCTGAAAATTCAAGTTTGTCTTGTTTAACAAGTTTCAATAAGCACAATGTAAATCAATTTTTTGACAGCTATTAAATATTTTTAGAAAGATATAATTACATTCCTGATATAGTTTATAATATTGATGAAACCAAAAAAATAGCAGTACTATAATCGCCTTTAGACGTGGCAGTTAATGTTCCTTTTAAGCCAAAATTGTCTACGCGTTTGAATGATTAGCTTTTATCTAATCTGGGGAAAACAATAAAAATACATGATTTAGACACATAGTGACACCAGCATATACCATTATATATAGTGCCAGGAATATTATTTCCTATTATTTATTATCTATTAATAATATCTATTATTTTCGCAACTGGAGTATTTCTGTGACAATTCCTATGTGCTTAAGTAACTAATCGCCGTCTGAGGGAAACATTTAGTATATCTGACTTTGAGTAATTTCATAAATTCGTTATACATTCAGTTTCTTGCACATCTGATAGCATGATTATTAAGATGATATGATTGATGGCTAAAGAAAAAAAATGTTTTAAATGGCCTTTAATTAAACCACACTATATCACCTGAATCCGTCCGTAAGACTCTCACTGATACTCCTAAGGGAGAACAAGTAAAAAAATATATCTTTTACGAGACAAAACTTAAAAATTTATCTTTTACAAGACAAAACTTGAAAACTCCAAGACTTGAAAAAAAGAAATTTAAAAATTCAGGATAACACGAAATAAATAAACTTTTGATTTTATTAAGCAAACACTAAATTTATAAAAGCTAACACAAAATATAAATTTTTGAATTTATAAAGGTTCTTATATACATTATTTAAATTTTTATTTTCTTTAATGAAGTTATAAATTAATACTTTTACTAGCTCTAATAGCTTTACAAGAGTCTTTTTTGATCTGTTCCTTAATTTGATTATAGCATTATAACATGAGACTGTATTAGAAAAAAGTGATCTAATTGTTACAAATAAAGGTTAAACTTAATGAAGTTAAAAAATATAGTAATCCTTTATAACTTAAATTTCTTTTATCCTAAACTTCGTAGCTTAAACTTCAAATGTTTTCATTTTAGTATTGATTCAATGCTGTCTAAGGTAGATTTAATGCTACTTCATGCTGGGGCAGCTTTGAACATTTTTATGTATGTTAAAAACATAAGAATACTGATTTTTTTTTTTTTAGCTTGAAAATCTTACAATCACTGAAATTTCATCCCTTAATCATTGCTACGACTATTTAGAAGAAAAAAAAAAGGTTAAAATGAATAAAATATTATTTACAAAAAAAAAATTAATTGTTCAAAGCTGCCCCTTTATTTCTATAAATATTAAGTGAACAACATCAGAAAGTTAAAAAAAATAATAATAAATAAGTAAAAAGTTTGCTTTGTTGTTAGGTAAAGATTTTATTCTAATTGCAGTGAATATTACAATAATACAATGTTCTTTATTATTACAAAATACTTCCATGATATTTCAAAATTTTAAAGAAACTAGCAAAACTAAAATATTTAAAAAATAAATTTGATTTAAAAAATTTTATTTTAAATTTAGAGATTTAAAAAAAAATTAAGATCTGATAAAGAACCATGAGTCAAAAAGGTTTTGAAGTCAAACAAACTACAACTACTAAAGTTAAACAACCTACAACTACTAAGTTCAAAAACTTTTGAATTAAAAAGGTTTTGAAGTCAAACAACCTACAACTACTAAGTTCAAAAAATTTAACTAAACTGAATTAAAAAAATTATTTTGAAAAAAGAAGAAGTCTTCAATATTAACAAGAGCAATCTAAAAGCTAATCAAATTTAAAAAAGTATTTTGGTATTAATCTAAATAAAAATTAAATACTATCATGCTCAATTAAAAACAAAAAAAGAATGATATTAACTTGCTAGAAAAGACGGTTGTGAAATATTACAATTAAAAAAAGAAAGTAGTGAAATGTTAGATAAAAAAAAAAAATTATAGTTTTAAATTTAGTTTTGGAAAGTTAAAATATTGTTAAGTCAAAAAATAAGAAACTAAAGTTACATAAAAAAGTAATTTAATAAATATAAAGTAATGATAAAAACAACATTATCAATGAAAACAATATGAAACATTTTAATAATTTTTAAGAAAGTTTTCATCCTTTATAGCTGTTTTAAAGTAAAAGAAATAATACCTTTTTAAGTATCTTTGTTTGATGGTGAGAAAATAATAATTTTTAAAGATAATAGATACCATGATAACATTTGGAAAGTTATCATGAAGCATCGTTCAATGAATGTCAATGTGAATCAAAGTCACAAATGTTAAATTTTTTTTTTAGTACTAAGAAAAATATAAAAACGCCTTTAAACTGCTGTAAACAATTTAAATGCGTTTAAATTTAAGTTTCATGGTATTGAAGATTTTATGACTTATTTCTTCTTTTTTATTTGTTTTTTAATTAATTTTATTAAATTTTTAAGTTCTGTTAACGTTATATTTTATAACAGAACTTAAATTGATAATAAAATTGTAAAAATACCTGAAGCAATATATTCTGTATAAATATTCTATAAAATTAGTTAAAAAAAGCTCTGCTGGAATACAATTATATCCATAAAAGCTTTAATTTTAGCAATAGCTTGCACAGTGGTGGTACTAGGAAGTCTCATAAACATTACCAAAAGTTACAATTAATATATAAATTCAGCTACTGCTGCATTTTTATATTTTAACTCACCCAAGTAAAGTTGTAAGAAATGTTTAAATTTTAAGTACAAATTTTATAAAATTTTCAAGAAAGCAGCAGCAGCATATTAACAATAACGAAAGTAGAAATCTTTAATTGTCAAAACTGTTTTAGTTACATAACTGTTAAGTTGTCGCCTTTTTTTTTCTCTTGATCTTTCAAATCTCATGTTTTTTAAGTTATAAAGTGAGGTATACTTGATTTTTACTTCTGCTTTAGAAAAGTGTAAACTTGCCACTTGGATGAGCTAAGTTTTTCAGATATGGTACAGCACCAGTATGTTTAGTCATAAAAAAA